CCTGGTTATTTGTGTACTGAAGCTTGTATGACGCACGTGCAAGGGTTATTTGTGATGGCCTGTTTTGTTCGAGGTTGTTTACCATTTACCTAAAAAATCCGGAAATTTCGGATGGAATGTAAAATGAAAGATTAGTTTTGTTTCTCTGAGCGGAAATTTTCTCGGGAAAACGGGATTTTTTGAAAGGTGGACCAAAATTCCCAAACGGAATTTCCGAAGTGAAAATGTGCGTTCCATTTGCTACAATCGTGGACAAACGTCCTTGGGACACTTATGTAATTTAACGAATTATGTGTGTTTTACTACTGAAGTTTGAAAAAAGCGCTGCTTTCCTTTTAAAAACGCGTTGCTCTTCCCCCGCCCCGCCCAATACAATGTTGAAAATCAGAGGATATTGCATGCAGGTAGTAGTTTTCAACATCGTATGGGGGGTGGGGGCCGAGGTTAGGCAGGTGAAGTTGTATTCGCGTCTGGCGTGTGCCCAAAAGCACCAACTGAAAAGTGAAAATTTGTCCCAAGACTTTTGTCCATGATTGTAGTTTTTACTAGTTCCAGGCCTTTTGGCTCGGATCGCCTTTGATCCTATCTTCCGGGAAAAAGTCGTTGAAATGGAACGAACGCATCCCCGTGGAAATTTCCATTCGGGATTTGACGCGTCCCATTTACTACAACTGTCGACCAAGCGGTTTTTCCGAGTAGATGATAAACAACCCAAGTTTCCAGGCACGCGTGGTTTGTGACGTAATAGGGTACGTGTAGTGGTTTAGGGTTTGATTTTTTTTGCTGTATTTTTCATTTCTAGATCGACAATGCGCTTTGTGAGTTCAGTCCTGTTTATAATTCGTTCAGACAAAAAGGAAGCATTTCATGTCTTCAGCTATTCATGATGAAAGATGGAACTTTTAGCGAACTGAGAAAATATCTTCTCCGTGTCAACCCTTCAGCAGCCAATCAGATTAAGATACCACGAGTTATCAAGTCCCAAGAAGCGCTTGATGTTCTTTTGAGAAATACAACATTTTAACATCATCCATGCACATTATTCCAGTTTTAGACCACACGGGAAATGTTTGTTGACAAGGGGTTTGTGTCCAGGTGATTAGGGAGTTTAAGAAAACCACGACTGCAACGGCAACGGGACCGTCTGTAAACAAAAGGTTTAATGAGCAGGACAATGGCTGTGCACGTGCGTTATAATTCTTGGCACATATCTTTGCCGTCCTCTGCAAAACAACAACGTGAAATGACCAAATTCTGCCTTGTCTCGAGAGCGTGAACCATAACGGCTAATTTTTTACATTTTTATTCCAAATTTATCGCTGTATCCCAGGTTTAGTTTCGTGATAGTTTTGACAGCGATAAACAAAGTAAATGGCTCTAGAGTATCGCGAGATGCGTGGGTAAAATATAAATTCATTTTTTAATAACGTTGTCCTCGGCGTCGCCGTTGTGGTTACTTAAAATCCCTAATATCTTCAGCTACTGAGAGATGTTCGGTTGAAATATTTGGCTATAGATGTTGCTATATGAGAATCAATTTCTTGACGTACAAAGGAATGTCGAAACGATATTTAGCACCCAATTCAAATGACAAAATCTTAGTGTCGCTTTTTCAGTATAATTGTAATTTATTATTCCACTATTGCGTCATTTAACTTATGGGGTTTTGACAACACACCAAGCATTGCGCGATATTTATTGAAATGTCGTATATTCCGTATTCTGTAGCTCCCTTTCGGAGTTAAATATGATAAGAAACCAACACAATTAAAGAAGTAACGTAACTATACCATAACATAATTTATGAAATTTGTGAGGTGTGTGTGTCTTAGCATATATCTGCTATTAATGTACATCGAGTATGTTGTTGTACCCATGCCTGCACTTGTGAATAAAGCGGTGATTCTTTCAGAAAATCCGTAAAACAATCGAATAAGCTGAATTGATTTTATTCCTTGCTTCCGAGTTATTTTCGCATTTCTAGATCGCTGTTCTACAAAATTAACCTTTTGAAGGTTTCCTACCTTTTGAAACTACTCTGGGTTTGTTTTCGAGGATTTTGAAATTTTGCTTAAACTAGCGATGGCAATATCCCCGAGCTAGTTTTTGTGAAAAATCATAACTATCTTTTAATTCATCGCTAGCGATCGCTTATAGAGAGCAAAAGCCGACAGATACTATACGTCTAGACCAAAAACAGATTAGCTTCAGGGAGCCTGTGCGCCTACGCGGCTGACTGTAAAAGCACCTTTAAATGACCTCATTTGAAGGCGTCTGGTGGAAACTTCTGTAGCAGCGACGTGAATCAGCATTTTAGCCTTTATCTTGAACATCCCAAATATAGTTTTCCTCAGTTTTCTGTTGAGCAATCCGTAAAGGATAGGGTTCAACACGGAACTCAGCTGCATGCAGAACGTGGACGTCATCCAGATCTCACGTGACATGTTATTATTTGTAAGGCTGGCGATTTTTAATATGCCTTGAGGCAGCCAGCAGATAGTGTATAAAGTTGTTACAGTAAAAACCTTCCTTGCGATGTGAGGTTCTTCGTTTCTGTTCGCAATTGTTCCACGCGTGCCAATCGCATATGGTCGACAGCTTGTCAGCGCCGCGCTCGCGGGAGTCACTCTTGAAGTTGAAGGGGAAGTCTTTTTATCGAAGAAGGAAAAAACTTGTTTTCGATGTAAGCGGACTAAGCTTAAAATCGCGTAGTTAAGATAGATCGTTGCAAGGAAGAAAATGTTCTCAAATACAACCATAACTACAGAACTTGCCGAATTCTTGCTTGAAATGACACAAAGGGATTCTTTAGCGTGAAATGTCGCTTCGTCTTGTTCCATTATCGGAGATAAGGCGAGGAGACACGATGAGATCCAAATCGCCACCAGAAACAAGCGAGTTGAGCGTTTAGTAAACATGTTGGTGTACTTTTTGTATCTGACGATGATCAGGTATCGGTTTAAAGTTATGAAGGTTACACTTAGAGTTTTGGTTGTGAATAGAAAAGAGTTTAAAATCGCTTGGTATTTACAAGCTTCTTGTCCCAAGCACCAAGCTCCCTGAATCAGCACCGATGCTAGCAGAGGGTGTGTCGTTATGGCAGAAAGGACATCCACGATCGATAAATTGACCACGAGTATATTTGGAATAGTTCTTAATGACTTGAGATGGAAAAACGCCGCGATAATCAAAGTGTTTTCAAGTATTGATAAAATCGTGAACAGGACAACAATTATTGACTCCAACGCGGCGGTCCCGGGAGATCGATATGGCAGGTCGAATCCCCCAGCAGTTTTTTCCATCCTCAAGCTTTTCGTTGCCTTTTTTGTTCGTTCCTGGGATTTACAAAACCGCGACTTGTTATGTGAGGTTTTTCCTCGTTTTGTTATTTGCTAAGCAGCGTACGACGTTGGTGCATTTGTCACTCCGTGCTGCACACTATAGATTTCCCGGTTGCAGAGACTTTGCGCCGTGGAAGAGAGAAGTTGTATATTTTCTGGAATAATTCATTTTCTCTGGATCTGTTTCCCCGCCTGTTCCATCCAAATAACCTCATGTAGTTTTTACAGGCTCAGGCACAGTTGCACGCGTGTGTTCTCACCAAATTTATACACTGACTACCTTTAGAATAAAGAAGGTTTGTGTTTTGCTCTTGTCGCTCGCAAGGTGTACCTTCGTTTGAGACGTTTTAATTTATAAGCACTTTCAGACGGATACATATATATGTTTAATGTCTCCCACGTAGGCTTTTAATGAAGGCTAGCCGGATTCTAATCTCGCCGTATTGTGAGTGTTATTTAGAGTTGAAATTATTTCCTCATGTTATATCTTATAGAACCTCACTCTCTATAAATGGTGGCAATGTTTAAAAGACCCGTTTAAGAAACAAGAAAAAACAGGGTTGTTTCCATTTAACACATCTAGTTAAAAAACGAAAAATATCATTTTGCGAAAATGAATTAGTGTGAACAATTTCATTTTCGATGTGTTTTCGATACAAAAGAAAATACAGGCTGAAATAGAGGTTTAACGTTTCCGCTTTGGTGACACAAAACGTCCTAATTACGTCCAGAACGCACTATAAATCTAAGCCGCTTCCTAAGAAAGATTTGTATGAGCCGTTTTGCCCGTACTAAGACCTACTAAACCGGGCAGACTGGGGCGAGGCCGCAATTAGGCCATGCCCGAGTTTTCTTTTGCCTCTGTTTCGAAACGAGTCTCCGTGCGAAACCATTCATTTGAGAATGTATTCGGCCGAAAGGTTTATTCTCATGTAAATCAAATTCATTTTCAAATGAAAGACTCGTTTTGAAGCAGAGGCACAAGGTAACCCGGAA